GAGGCCGACGGAGCCCACGCCGGGGCCTGGAAGGAGGGTGCGCGGCTGGCCACGCCCACCGCCGGGCTCACGGCTGCGCTCCTCCCAGGTGTACGAGACCCCCTTCTACGTGGCCGTGGACCACGACAAGAAAAAGGTGGTGATCAGCATCCGGGGAACCCTGTCTCCCAAGGTACGCTGCCTGCGACGCCCACCCCCCGCCCCCAAGGCCGGCCGCCTCCCTCTTCCCGCCCCTCACCTGTCGCCTCCATCACAAGGACGCCCTGACCGACCTGACCGGCGACGCGGAGCGCCTCCCCGTGGAGGGACACCACGGCACGTGGCTGGGACACAAGGTACCCGCCCGCCCCCCCTGTCCCCGCCCCCCCCCTTGCTGCTGGGGCAGGTGTAGGCTCGCTGGGCTCCCAGGGAGAGATGGGCCGAGAGAGGTGTGGGTTGGGCTGGAAAGTCCACAGCAGCCCACCCTCTGGGACCCCCACAGCTCTGTGCACCCCAAACCCTGTTCCAGAAGAGTCTGCAGAGGCAGCTGGGAAAAGTTCACTCTGGTTTCTGTGAGACACAGGCCGCAAACCTCAGTTTTACCATCTGTGAAATGGAAATGTGGCCCCAGCCCCACAGCCAGGCGAGAGGACCAGCGGCCATGCGCGGGGCTGGTCACAGTGGCCTCGCTGGTCCCAGGAGGGCCCCGACACCCTCCTCTACCCGTCCCCCAGGGCATGGTCCTCTCGGCTGAGTACATCAAGAAGAAGCTGGAGCAGGAGATGGTCCTGTCTCAGGCCTTCGGGCGAGACCTGGTGAGGCGTTTTCCGGGACACCCTGCCTGGCCGCCCCTGCCGTCCCCCCCCCCCAGGGCTACAGATTGGGGACGGCGCGGTCCGTGGGGGAGCCCCCACAGGCCGCCCCCCGCTCGCTCTGGCCCCTTCCTCTTTGGCACCAGCTGCTCTCGGGCCAACCCCTGCTTGGCCACACCGGCTACGAGCAGGCACAAGCATGCTGGGGGCTTCCAAAATGTAGAGCAGAGACACAGACGAAAACTGCAGAGCAGACAGAGGGGTGCTGCTTGTGGGGGTGAGCCGGGCCCGGCCCGCTAGCCTCGCCCTGTGCAGCGGCTCCGGGTGCTGCCGCGGTCCTCCCGAGGCCCCCACAGTGCCCCGTGGCCAGTGGCCACGACGGCAACACTGCCGCGCTGGCCGTGGGCACGGAGTGTGGCGGCCTCACGTCCAGGTCTGTCCGCAGGAGGGCGTGGCCTCCTCGGGAAACCGGGAGGGGCTGCTCCCAGGAAGTCACCCCCGTGCCAGATGTTGCGGGGTGGGTGGGCGGTTGCTGGTGTTGTCTCCCGAGAAGTGGGCTCTGGAGATGGCGCCCGGCGCCCCCTCTGGCCCAGCCACTGCAGCGCAGGCAGGGGCGGGGACTCCGGGAAGACCCCGGCCAGCCCCGCTGGGGTCCCCCAGCCCGGTTGACAGCAGTGGGCGGGGCTCTCAGGCTCGTCTGGTCCCCAGGGCCGAGGCACCAAGCACTACGGCCTGATCGTGGTGGGCCACTCGCTGGGCGCGGGCACGGCCGCCATCCTCTCCTTCCTCCTGCGCCCACAGTACCCGACCCTCAAGTGCTTTGCCTACTCCCCGCCGGGGGGCCTGCTGAGGTGAGCAGCCTGGGCCCTCCGCGTGGGCTGGGGTCGGGGGCCCGGGGCTGGGGGTCAGGCTGACCGGGCAGCCTGACCTGCAGTGGCAGGCGGGGAGTGTGCCTGGCGGTGCTGGCGCTCCTGGGAACCGGATCCGCTCCGCAGTCTTACTGGAAGGCGGGGCCGGGGCAGGGGCCCAGCTGACTCCCGTGGGCTCCCTGGGGAGCCTCAAATCAAGACCCCCCTCCGCGCCGTGCTGGAGCTGAGGCCCCGCTGCCCCTCAGCCCCTGCTTCCTTTGCAGCGAGGACGCCATGGAGTACTCCAAGGAGTTCGTGACGGCCGTGGTTCTGGGCAAAGACCTGGTTCCCAGGTGTGCTTCCTCTCGCCTCCGGTCCTGCCTGGGCCGTTCCTCTCTCCTGGGCCTCACCCTGCACCATGTCCCCCTTCCTCGGATCCCCTCTCCCCACCGACCCCAAGCCCCTCGCTGCTACCCTAGGACAAGGACAGGAAGACCGGGGGGGGGGAGCACCCACCCTGCTGACCCACCTCCCGCCCTTCCCTGCTGGACACCAGGCTCGCGTCACCCCTGGGCCCTCGGGCAGCTGTGCTCTGGGGCCGGTGTGCGCCTGCCCTCTGCGCACACCTCCGGGCCCCAGGCGATGCCCCTCTGTTCCATCCCCAGGATCGGCCTCTCCCAGCTGGAAGGCTTCCGCAGACAGCTCCTGGATGTTCTGCAGCGAAGCACCAAGCCCAAAGTAAGCCCCCAGCCCTCCCCTGATGCCTGGGTGCAGTGCCGGGGGGCCACAGCCGTGTGAGGCGGGCTGGGCTGTGAGGGTCCACGGGGCCCCCGGCCCTCACACCTTCAGCATCTACCCCACCCCTGTGCAGGCGGGGAACCGGGGCCCAGAGTGAGTAAGGGACTCACTTCTCTCGTGTAAGTTGTAGCTGAGTGTTGGGGCCAGGCCTCCTGAGTCCGCTCAGCCGCACAGGTACCTACAGGTGGGGCCGGCCCCAGGCTGCGGCTCTCTGCAGGAGGCCCCGGGGGCACTTCGTTCTGATTTTCCACTGCGGCTGAGACACAGGACAGGCCGGGTTTGGGGAGGACAAGAGGCTTCTTCCTGTGGCCAGATGGCCTCCAGCATGCGGGGCCGGGGGGTGCTGAGACCAGGCCTCCGGTGTCCCCCCACACCAACCCTCAGCCCATTCACCACCCCGCCCAGCTTGCACCATCCCTAGCTTTGGTGCCCGTGACCAAGGCAGGCAGGGCCCTGAGCCTGGTGCCCTCAAAGACAGAGGGCCCGGGGGGCAGAAACCAGCCCTGCACTTGCCAGCCCGGTGGCTGGTGCCCACCTAGACACCAGCCCTCCCTGGCCTGCAGAAGGACCTAGAACGAGCCCCTCCCCCTCTCCGGGCCTCTTTCCCCATCTGTGGTCTTCCGGCCCCTTGCCAGCCCACCCGTTCACCAAGTCCATGTCCTCTGTCTTGGCATCTTTGGGGCCACCTCGCCCCTGCCTCAGATGTACACCGCCCTTGCCGCTGGCCCATGGCCGGCCCGGCTCCCACCCCTCACCTCTGAGCTCGCTTCTGCCTCCAACCAGCCCCGCTCAGCTCTGCCCCCCTCTCCCCTGCCCCGCATAGTGGCGGATCATCGTGGGGGCCACCAAGTGCATCCCCAAGTCGGAGTTGCCTGAGGAGGTGGAGGTGACCACCCTGGCCAGCACGCGGCTCTGGACACACCCCAGCGACCTGACCATCGCCCTGTCGGCCAGCACCCCACTCTACCCGCCCGGCCGCATCATCCACGTGGTCCACAACCACCCAGCTGAGCAGTGCTGGTGGGTGCTGCGGGTGCCCCTGGGCCCCATCAGCCGGGAGGTGGCAGAGGCCAAGGGGGGAGGCAGGCCGGCCTTCGCTCAGTCACCCCTCGGGGCTGCAGACAGACGCTGCTCTCTCCAGCCTCAGCCCGGGAGTGGGAGGAAAGGCCGCTGGCTCCTCTCCTGACGGTCCTGCCTTTGTTCCCAGTCTCAGCCCTTCCCTGGTGCAGGGAAGCTCTCCCACAGGGCAGCTCCACCCCCCACACACACACACACACCCCTACCCCCCCCCCCCCCCCCCGTGTTCCTTCAAACAGCGAATGCCCTGGAGGGCCAGCTCATGCCTCCGTGGCACTTGGCACCAGGGTGGGGGGTAGTGGGCAGAGAAGGGGAGCGGGCAAGTCGACAGGCTTCCCCTGTGCTCATTTGGGGACCTGGGCCTGGACCCTCCTTCCAGCGTGGCTGCCTGCCCTGACCAGAGGCTGGTGAGCAGCTCCCTGCAGGCACGGCCAGGGTGGCCCAGCCAGTGAGGGGCTGCGTAGGGCCGTGGCTGAGGCTGGGCTCAACCTCCCCCGGCTGGGACGGCAGCTGAGGGCCAGGCAGGGCCAGGACCAGGAGCACAGTGCCTGGGCTGGCCAGCAGGGCCTCCACACTGACCTCGCTTGCTAATAAGCAAGGGCAAAGAACAGGGCTGGGGACCAGGCCAGCCCCCCTCAGCTTCCCTCCGGCGTGGCATCCCTGCAGCTGCTGTGAGCAGGAGGAGCCCACGTACTTCGCCATCTGGGGTGACAACAAGGCCTTCAACGAGGTGATCATCTCGCCGGCCATGCTGCACGAACACCTCCCCTACGTGGTCATGGAGGGGCTCAACAAGGTGAGCCCCCGAGCCCCGGGGTGGCTCACACCCTGATCTCCGGCCCCCAGGTCACAGATGAGTCCTCGCTGGGCCTCTCTGGCCGGGGCCCCTCAGTCCTGCGCCCCTCAGTCCTGCTCTATCCACATTTCCATGTGGCCCAGAGGTGGGGTGTTTAAGACACCCCTGGGGACATGTCCCCGAGGCAGGGTGAGCTCAGAGGTCCCACAGGCCTCCCACCACCACGGAAGGCTGACCACAGGGAGGGAGAACCCCAGCCCTCTCAGTGGTGGGGTGAGGTGTGGTCAGTCACAGGGCTAGACCCAGATTTCTAGCAGGAGAGGCCCGCTGGAGAGGGAGCAGGAGAGGCCCGCTGACCCCAAGGCTGCGTGGGCCTGAGTGGCCTGGCCTGCCTCCTCGCCCCCCACATTGTCGTCACCCCTCCGCCACCACCAGCCCCCCACCCTGTCCCCAGGTGCTGGAGAACTACAACAAGGGGAAGACCGCCCTGCTGTCTGCCGCGAAGATCATGGTGAGCCCCACCGAGGTGGACCTGACCCCTGAGCTCACCTGCCAGCAGCAGCCCCTGCCCACGGGGCCCCCGGTGCCCGCTGGCATTGCCCTGGAGCTTCCCGCCCCCGACCACCGAAACAGCAGCGTCAGGTGAGCCCCGGCCCCCCACAGAGGGCGAACGCAGGGGCCGTGATGTGGGCTCAGCGAGGTGCTCACGCGCGCGCGTGTGTGCTGGGCACGCTTGGGCACGCTACCTACCCGGGCTCTGCGCCAGGGAGGGGTGACCTCGCCCATGGCCCGGATCTCTCCTGCTGCGCCTCCTCGGCCCCCACCCTGCCCTTACCCACACCGGCCGGCGGGCGGACCCAAACTCCATGCTTAGTTTCACCCTCACCTGCTGGGACCCCAAGGGGTGGTCCAGGCACCTGCAGTCCCACAGACCTGTTTCTGTGGCTGCGCACGCAGAGGACACGCGCACAGGCAGCCGTGGGTGTGCCCGCGTGGGGGCACCGTGCCCAGACGCCCCCCCAGACACACGCCACGCACACAGAGGAGCGGGTACCTGTGGCCGCGTGTCCGTCTTCACAGCCTGTCGCCGGGGCGAGGGTGTCAGCCTTTTGGGCAGCTCTGCCAAGAAGGGGTGGTCCTGCTCCCCTGCGCCCTCTCCTGCCCAGACCCCAGCCCAGGGCACGTGCTGCTTCACACCGCAGCTGTCCCGCTGTCCATGTATGTCGTGGCTCCTGCGTGGCCAGAGGAGGTGGAGTCCCTGCTGTATCCCTCACCTGCCCCAGACCTTGGTTTGCCCTCAGCAGGCTGCTGTGCCCAGGGCAGGGCCCCACTGCCCCCACTCCCCGCCTCCCCCCGCCATGGGTCAGGCGGGAGGACCCCACTGAGAGGGGCTCTCAGTGCTGGTCCCCAAAGGGAATGCAGCCCTGGGGAGCAGCTCAGGACAGTGACCCCTCCCTCCCTCCCTCCTGGACCTCAGTCTCCCTCTAGTGAAGGACGATGGCACCCCAACAGGGCTCCCATCCCACTGGGGCTCCACCGTCAGGACCCCGACCCTGTCCCAACCAACAGTGACCTTTTGTCTTTTAGTTGGGGTTCTTGGAGCTGTTTTTTGTTTGTAAATAAGGGTTCCCGCCCCCAAACGGGTCAACCACCACTAAATCCACTTCCCCTCCCCCCCAAGTGCCCTCCAGCCTGGGCGCTGGGGGTCACTCCGCCCCTCCTGAGTCTCACACCCTCCTTGCCCTGCCCTCGCAGGAGCAAGTCCCAGTCTGAGGTGAGCCTGGAGGGCTTCTCGGAGGGGCGGCTGCTGTCCCCGGCGGCGGCGGCGGCGGCGGCGGCGGCCCGCCAGGACCCCGTGGAGCTGCTGCTGCTCACCACCCAGGAGCGGCTGGCGGCCGAGCTGCAGGCGCGGCGGGCGCCCCTGGCCACCATGGAGAGCCTGTCGGACACGGAGTCGCTGTACAGCTTCGACTCCCGCCGCTCGTCGGGCTTCCGCAGCATCCGCGGCTCGCCCAGCCTGCACCCGGTGCTGGAGCGCCAGGAGGGCCACCTCTTCTTCATCGACCCCGCCATCCCCGAGGAGAACCCGTCCCTGAGCTCGCGCACCGAGCTGCTGGCGGCCGACAGCCTGTCCAAGCACTCGCAGGACACGCAGCCCCTGGAGGCCCCCCTGGGCAGCGGGGGCGCCACCCCCGAGCGGCCGCCCAGCGCCGGCGCCCGCGGCGAGGAGGAGGAGGAAGAGGGGGGCGGGGCGGCGCCCCGCGGGGAGCTGGCGCTGCACAACGGCCGCCTGGGGGACTCGCCCAGCCCGCAGGTGCTGGAGTTCGCCGAGTTCATCGACAGCCTCTTCAACCTGGACAGCAAGAGCAGCTCCTTCCAGGACCTCTACTGCATGGTGGTGCCCGAGAGCCCCACCAGCGACTACGCCGAGGGCCCCAAGTCCCCCAGCCAGCAGGAGATCCTGCTCCGGGCCCAGTTCGAGCCCAACCTGGTGCCCAAGCCCCCGCGGCTCTTCGCTGGCTCCACCGACCCCTCCTCAGGCATCTCGCTGTCACCCTCCTTCCCGCTCAGCTCCTCGGGCGAGCTCATGGACCTGACGCCCACCGGCCTCAGCAGCCAGGAGTGCCTGGCAGTGGACAAGATCCGGACTTCCACCCCCACCGGCCACGCGGCCAGCCCGGTCAAGCAGGATGACCTGGTCATCTCGGCTCGCTAGCACCCAGGGGTGGCCGCCTGCTGGGGCCAGGCCACGGCGGGTGGCCCGTGGGCTCCTGGTGAGAGGCCCCGGGGGCCGGTTAGCCTCGGGGCACTGGTGTCGAGCTGGGGGGTCCGCATCCCTACCTCAGCTTAGGACCCCCAGAGCCCAGGGGCTGGGACCTGGGCCCAACAGGCTGGAATGACCGGGGGTGAGGGGTGGGGGCTGGCGGGGCAGGGGCGGATGCAGGGACAAGCCTGGAGCAGCGTGCCAGGCGGGGCCCTCACCTGACTGCCCCCAGGGGCATCTTGGCAGCCCTGCTCCAGGGCGGCGTGGGCGTCCTGACCCCATCACTACCCACTGGTTGCTCCCCCTGGGCCAAGGTGGAGAGCAGCCCCCTCCCCACGTTCTCACCTGTGGTCCGGGTTGGTGTCTGCCCTGGTTTTCCCCCAGATCTGGTGCCTGCTGGCCAGTCCCCTGGGTGAACCCCCAGCCACGGTGGCCCGCAGTGCTGTGTATGTTTACAGAGGCTACTGGGCTGGGCTGGGGAGTGATCTGGGCTTGCAAGCACCCCTCCATCAGGTGTTCACTGGCCCCCCTCTGAGCAGGGCAGGGGCCAGCCCCCAAGGGCCCAGGCCAGACATGGGCCCAGAAGGGTGGGCTCAGGACCCCCCTTCTCGGCTGGGCGCCCGTGACACCAGCCCCTCCCATGGGTCCTGGCCCCAGATCTGCCCCCACCCGCCCTTAACCTCCCGGCTTGCCGTCTGCTCCCCGGGGTCCTGGCCTCTCAGAGCGGAGGGCGCAGGTGTGGCCACCCGACTGCAGGATCAGTCCCTGGGAGGAAGGAGGGCCCCCAAGCCCTCTCCCTTTGAGGTGCCTACCCCGCCCCTCTCTCTCATCTCTCCCTCCGCCTAGGCAGTCAGGCCCTGGGACCTGAACCCAAACACACCTTGGGCCCTCACCCTCTGCTGGCCTCCCCCGGGCAGGCACTGTCCTGGTGGCGGAAGTGGTGTCCAAGAGTGGGGTATGGTGGGACCTGGCTGGAAACCCCTGCCCAGTGCCGGCGGGGGTCAGGGGCTCTGGGGCTGCCCCATGTCCGCCCCAGGCCTCCTAGGCTCGTTGAAGGGCCCCCGCCCTGCCGGCGGGGCGCAGGGGGAGGTAGTGCATGCTAGCGTGGGGTGTGTGTGTGTCATGAGTGTGTGCCCATGCGAGGAAGGGGCTGCTGGGCACCCCCCCCGCCCTGCTTGCCTGCCACCCTCCCAGCTTGCCAAGAAAACTGCCCGTAACCATGACGACGCCTGGGCAGGGGCCACGGGCCCGGTTCAGTGGCCTGGTCCCCTGGAGCCCTTGTCTTGACCACTGTTCAGCTCCTTGGTTAGGACAACTGGTATGTGTCCAGGCGTGGACTGCCCCTTCTTCGTGCCTTCGTCTCCTTGGAGGCATGACCCCACCCCCACCCCGCTGCCTCCCTGGGGCAGCTGGGCGCCCTGGCCAAGGCCCCTATCTCATGGTCACTGGTGTTGTGGCCTGCCTGCCCCCTGACCCGTCAGCCGGGGCTGCCCCGGCCCTGCTCCGGGACCCCTGCCCCCACTGTCGCATGGGGTCAGAGACCTGGGAGCTGGGCTCCCTCGCTCTGACTCCTGCCCCTCAGCAGACCCGGCCCAGCCCTTGCTGAGGCCCCGCTGCTGGCCCAGCCTGGGCCCAGCACAAAGCAAGACCCAATCAGTGGCTCCTCGAATTTCAAAACAGGACAAATTGGAAATCCGTAAAGTCCCAATAGGGACCCCGCTAATAGCAGGGAGAGGCTTGGTGTCTGGCCTTTTCATTTCTCCTCCACCTGGGTGGGCCGTGGCACCCCTAAGGTGGGCGGGCGGGCGGTCCACCCAGACCCAGGACTGAGCCATCAGGGACAGACTCCCCACCCCGGAGGCCGCGAGGCTGCCGCCTGGGGCTGGGGTAGGCTCGGACTCAGCCCTGGACGCCCCACCCCCACTGGCCCTCTCCCCACCTCACTCCCGAAGGGTGGTCTGCTGCCTGTCTCTGCCCCGCTTCCCACCCACACTCGGGGGGTCTGAGCCACCCCCCTCCACCCAGCGCGGCTCAGTCGTCCCCCCTCTGTCCCCCAGACCCTCAGCACAAGCTCTCTGGCCGTGCGCTGGCCTGTCCTCCCAGGGGCCTGGGTGACCTCCATATGCAATGGGTGGGCGCAGCCGGGCCTCCCAGACACGCCTGCCCCTGTGTGCCATTCTCCCACGACTTTTTGTACTTAATGTATGAAAGATCCAAACTAATATTGCTGTAAAAAGGAGAGACAAATTAATATAGCTTATTCTATAAATATATCTGTATATAAGGTTTCTGTATATTGTATAGAGCTGTGTATAAACTGGATGTAGACGCAAGCGTGCCGGCTGCCTGCGTGACCTCTCTGCCCGGTATGTGGAGGGGGTGGGGCTGCCGAGGTTGGGGGGCCGTCCGACACTTGATGAGGCCCTGGCGCAGGACTACACTTCGCGTCTCGGTGAGGACCCAGAAGACCCCCAAAGCCCCATCTGAACAGGGGCAGCCGCTTGCTGAGCCCGGTCTGTGAGCCGTGCCACAGGCTCCTTATCCTGGCTTGAATGATGGGTTTTGTTCACCCCTTTTTCCTTCCTGTGGGGCCTGGGACTCAGAGAGTGTAAGTTCGCTGCCCCACACCACAGAGCCAGCAATCAGGATACCAGGCTAGTGCGACAGTGCGCACCCCAATTCCCATTGCTTAAGACGGAGAGCAGGGGGAGGACCCCGACACCCCCTCTTCGTGGGGAAGCATTGAATGCAGGGGTCGTTGGAGGGCCTTGCTGAGGGCTTCCGGCCCAGGCAGTGAGGCTTGGGGGCGTTTGCAGGCCCCGGGCAGCCGGCCTCCAGCCAGGCCCACGCGCTGGCATGCCGGCTCCACACAGCAGGGGGCGCTCTTCCTCTAGCCCACGCTGGGAGACCTGCAGGGTGGGTCTGGGGCGCTAATCCAGCCAACTTTGACCTAGCGTTGACCTTCCTCTTGGTCGCATGGCCACCCTGTAGCGCAGTCACCCTACTTGGTGCAGGTTGAGGTGACAGGAAGGTGTCTGTTTTCACCTGTGGCCTCTGAACAGAAGGGGAAACTGAGGCTAGATTAGGGCAAGGAGCTCACTAAGGTCGCTGGAGGTGGGGACAGATCTAGGAGCAGGACCCATATCCCTGAACCTAATGGTCTGCAGAGCATCTTTGCACACCACCTTCCCGCTCTGGGCTTACAAGGCAGCTCATCCAGTCAGTGTGGCAGAAGCAGGAGAAACTGAGGGCCAGAGAGGCTCTGGGACGTGCCCAAGGCCACTCGGCTGAGTGCAGAATGCAAAGGTTCTCTAAGGAGGGCAAGGCTGGCGGGCAAGGCTTGCCCATCCAGCACCCAGGGCCACCCCTCCTGTCTCACGGGAGTCAGACCCCTTTAGGGTCCCAGAAGGGGCCCCTTCCCCCATACAGGGCACCGCACCCCTGTCTCCTCTGGGCCTCCCGCTCTTCCTGCAGTGGGCAGATGCCAATGCTGTGTGGACCCAGGGAGGCCAGGAGCCCTGTCCTAGGGAGGCCAGCCGCCTGGGCAGTGGGCAGAGCCCCACCCTCACTGGGCTGGCCCCAGGCTGCTGGAGTCCCCTCAGGCCCCGCCTCCCTCTCCCTGGAGCTGCCTTGGGTCCTGCCGCCTCCTCCCAACCCTATGGGTGCTCCCGGCTGGAGCTGGGAACTGACCGGGGTCAGAAGGCACCACTGGTCCATCTCTTTCTCAGCGGCTACTTCACAGCGGAGCAGGAGTGACGGACTAATATGGAACTGAAGGCGCTGACCAGCCCACACTGACCAGTGGGGAGGCCAGAGCGGGTCCTCAAGGCTGGGTCACGCAAGACGCCCTGGGGCTCCTTTAGCAGTCCCACCCTCCAGGCAGGCTGGGCCCCAACTTTGTTAGTGACTTGGGGTGGCAATCTCAACCCTTGGCTGACCCCTAGACTCTGGGATGCTTTAGTGCCCCTCTGCCTGGACCTAGAGAGGAAAGTTCCTGGGAACACTGGAGCCTGGCTGAGTCAGATGGCAGGGACGGAACCCCCTCAGCCAGCGGCCACAAGGTTAACGGGAGCCTGTACCCCCTCCCCGACCCTCCCCCCTCCACACACCCTCACGGCCAACTTCGAGACTACCCCAGAGACTTCAACCTGAGTAGTCGTGGTTGGGGACAAAATCCGCATCTCCCTGACCCCTCCCTCCTCACCCCAACCCCCACCCCTGATGACCAAGACAAGGGCTAGGCTCACCTTGTCCAGATGGTCCTCAAATGATGAACAAACATTTAGCCCCCATGTGGGCTTTGGTGGGAGGACCTGCAAGGAGTGGGTGTGTGAGTGTGGGGGACTTATGTAGAAGTAGGTTTTCCAGCTGGTCCCAGAAACTCCTAAAATAAATTCATCTGAAAAAAAAAAATCATGCTGGTAGGTAGGTAGGATGTGTCCACTTTGTCTCAGGCAGGCCTGACCCCATGGGGGCGGGGGCAGGGGCAGAGCAGAGAATAACAATTGTCTTAAGGGCGGCTGCAAAGGGAGAAAAACCTCTGGGGTATCAGCTGGAAAAGAATAGGCATCTCAGTGTGGCCCTCTCCCCCCTCTCTGCTGCCCTGGGGGGGGCCGGTCAGCACACACAGCTGGGGCCTCCAGCAAAATCCCGTCTATATATCTAAGAGCAACACGCAGCTATCCGCCCCCAGAGGCACAAAACCTCATTGTGAAGCCCCGAGGGCCTGGGCGGCCCCTCCCCCGGCCCAGAACTGTCGTGGCATTGACCCTCCTCAGCGGCCACCACTTGTCCTGCTGACTGGGCCACATCTGGGCTCAGGCCCTGGCCACCCCTCCCCCCTGGCTGGCCGGCAGCAGCTTGGCAAGCTGTCCCTGCTAGCCCAAGGGCTGACCCAGCTGGCTGGCCGCACTCCTCTAGGGGGCCACCAGCTGGCAGAGACCACTAGGATGGGCTGGCGTCTGGGTCTGCCGGCTGCCCGCCGCAGGTTACCCTCTCAGGGATGGGGAGGGGCAGGTATCCCCGGCTCTGATTTGCTGATTGTGAGTCTCCCAAGAGGCTCTGAGTTAAACCGCTGTAGTGAGATGATTCTCTGGATTCCAGAATTATCTGCTTCCTAGTTTTCAGAGTCTAGTTTCTGCTGTTTGA